AGATAGATAGATAGATAGATAGATAGATAGATAGATAGATAGATAGACAGATAGACAGATAGACAGATAGACAGATAGACAGATAGACAGATAGATAGATAGATAGATAGGATAAGATAGATAGATGAATATCAAAGAGTACTTTCTTTTTAACCAAAAATAAAAATTAACTTTCACAAAGGCTCACATTTTGTGCCAAGAACTATAGAACTCTTACCTCATTTCATGCACACAGTTCCATTAGGTAAATTACCACTGTTATTCCTATTTTAAAGAAGGGAAAACTGGGGGCCTGTAGAGAAGGATATAATATTATCTAAGTAAACAGAAGTGCATTATAAGCAACTTCCAAAACTCTAGACCTGACAGAGACATCTCGCTTCCTGGACAGTCACCCAAAGTTGTTCTGCCATGTTGGGGCATCCATCTTCAGCCTACAGGCCCATAATATCTGGCAGACTTTTCCATGGAACAGGAAATTTGAAAGATTGTTACGCCTATATTGACATTTTGTCAGTCATTTTTTTCTGTGTCCTGCAGAATGTTTGGCAGACTCTTTCATGAAGCAGGAACCCCCAAAAACCATCTCACCTTCTTTTTAGCAACTTCAGCAGTCATTTTTCTGTGGGTCCTGCATGGTCCAATATATACAGCATATCATCAAGCAGCCCAGGCAAGGGCTGTTTCTTGCCCAAATGGCTAGCAAACTCGATAAGGAGTCTCTTCGATGCTCATCATCCTTTTAAAGGTGAATTGGTGCTGCCCGGAGCAGGTGTGTCTCATTTTTATGAAAAGTCCTAAGTTAACAAAACATTTTAGAGGCCATATTCTGTAGATTTTTGATGGTTTGAAGAATATCTATCCATTTGAAATATATCTCTGTACATTGAGAAAACCCAACTAACATGATTACAAATTTAACAATTATAAATTACTATCTAATAATCTGTAGTTTTTAAGTATATATTACATTTTTAAACGAACTGTATAAACATAATACCTCAAACAAGAGTAGAAATATACATATAACAAAATTGATCTTAAATTTGTATCAATAAACCAAAGTCCATACCAATGTAAAGTATTCATTTCTATATCATATTCTCCCATTTGGTTTTTTTTAGAAAGAGATTGACTATACACTTATAATCAACCCCCTTTAAATGAAAACAAACATTTATAAACAATCATTTTAGGAATTTCGGCATAGTTTTCTCCAAACTGCTTCATGCTGTTTCTTGGGTGAAGCATTTTTAAGGTCCATGAAAACCTTTTGGGGGGTTTTGTTCCATCAAACCACATTAGCCTGAAAGGAATCCACAGGTTCCAATCCTCTGCAGAAACAAAAGTAGAACCTCTTTTCCAAAGTAACATATCCTTAGACTCAAATTTTGAAGTCAAGATACTTTTAAAATATATATGTTGGTTTAGCTTAGCAGGCCCCAGAATCAAATGTCTCTCTGTAGCAAAAAAATTCAAAGAAAACACAATAATATGCATAATCCAGATTGTGTATTTTCCATCTTCATGTGGCTTATTTTTTACTCTATTACTTTTTAATATTTATTTTATTATCTTTACATTTATCCAACACTGTGACCCATTCAGAGGTCTTTTTCATCTGAATCTGTCTTACTGCTTATCTGTAATCATTTTCTGACCAGGAGTGCCTTTTAAAAAAATGCTAAGCAGGCATGTCTAGGACAAACTCCATAGCCCTGCCTGTTGGCTATGCCTATCCAACATGGTGGAGGTATGTTCACTGCCTCTGAGAGCCATGCTCACAGTCCCAGCTCCAGAGACACAGTAGGTCTATGTTGCCATTAAAAAATTTGTAACACTCTGCTTACAAATCCTAAGCGCTCCATAGACAAACTTCCCAAAAGAGCCAGAGCAGTTCATGCTGCCAGTCAAAACCAGGAAGCCATCTCTTAAAGAAACAATGCAGTTTTTTCTGCTAATGCTAAGTCAAGAAGCCGTCTCTTAGCAAACAGAACCCACCCAAGAAAATGCTGCTACCAAGAAGTCATGCGTAACTCTGTTCTTTTGTGACTAGAATTCCTTCCCAAGTTTTCTCAGGTTTTATGTAGATGCAGTTTTCCCACATTGGCACCATTTTGTAGACAGAGACTGCTCTTTTCATTCCTGGCTGCCCAGACCCAAATAATCACACAGAAACTATATTAATTGCAACACTGTTTGGCCAACGGCTCAAACATATTTCTAGTTAACTCTTATATCTTAAATGAACCCTCTTCTATTAATCTGTGTGTCACCATGAGGCTGTGGCCCTGTGGCCTACCAGTAAGGTTCCAGCGTCCTTCTCCTTTGGCAGCTACATGGCATCTCTCTGACTCTTTCCCTTCTCTCTCTTTATTCATCAACCAATAAAAGCAACACATATACAGAAGGACATCCTACATCAGGGGCCGGAGAGATGTCTCAGTGGTTAAGAGCTCTGACTGCTCTTCCAGAGGACCCAGGTTCAATTCCCAGCACCCACATGGCAGCTCACACCTGTCTGTAACTCCAGTTCCAGGAGCTCTGATGCCAATGCACATAAAATAAATTTAAAAAGAAGAAGGGGAAGCTGAGGATAAGCAAGATTAAGTATCTTGAGTTGGTAAGTATTCTTAAAATCACACAAATGGAAAGAGTGTAGTTGAGTTTGGAATCTACATGCTGTTCATATTGAAGATGAGTATTTTTCATACACTTTGCTGTGTCTTGAGACAAAGAGTCTTTCCCCAAACAGTAGAATGAGCCGCTTCCAGAGAGTAGAAAGTCAAGGAGATCAGCCATGGAAGGGTGGCACCTGAAGAAGAAAAAAACACTGAGGAAGATTTCTAATGATTACTAATGACCACAGGACTGGAGAGGTGGCTCAGTAGGTAAGGGCATGCACTGTTCTTGCAAAGGATCCAAGTTTGGTTCCCAGCACCCACATCAGACCTATATCCACCTGTAACTCCAGCTCCAAGAGGTCTCCAAGCCTTTTGCTTCCTTGGGCACCTGCCCTCAGGTTCACACAGGGAAGCACATAAGTACACACAATTTTAAAATAATGAAATATGCTTTAAAAGACATTAGCAACATTTACTAGACTCTGACCCATTCCAAGTGTTACCTCCACAGGTAAGTTGGAGGAGTGAGTTGGTGCAAAGCAGTGGATTACATGACAAAGCTGCCCCAATTAGCTTTGAAAGTAACCATATGGTGCTGCCAAAAAGGAGAAAAGGATCCAACAGATCGACTTTACCTCCACCACTACCACCATCAGCTTAGCAAATAGCATTCACTCTGTACCTGCTGTGTGTGACATATGGGATGTGGATTATCTTATTTGCTGTGGGATGTGGTGTATGTGTGCATTTGCCCATGGGGTGGTGCATGCAGGCAGAAGCCAGAGGAGGGCAACAATCAGTGGCACCGTAGTGAGCACAGCTGCATTCCAGAGGACGGCTTGTGTCTCCTGTCTCCCTCTACCTCATTCCTTTGAGACAGAATCTCTTACAAAGCCTGAAGCTTGCCTCTTTGTCTAGGATGACTGGCCAGTGAACTCCCAGAATCCCCCTGTCTCCTCCCCACAGCTTATGATCCAGGCACACATGGTCATGCTTGGGTTTTACATGGGTGCTAGAGATTCAGACTCAGATCCTCATGCTGGCACAGCCCTCTCTCCAGCCATGGTTTCTCTAATTCAATCCTCACAACAACCAATAAGGGGTATTACCAACCCCCCTTCCACAGGAGATGAAGGCACAAAAGGCTGCAACAACTTTCACCGAGCTTCACAGTGAACCAGCAGAAGGACAGAAGCGAAACCCACAGTTGCTACCTCTAGAACCTGGGTCTACAGACACAACCCCACAGAGGATTCCCTCAGTCAACACCCATCAGGGGCTCAGAACATTGGGGTGTGGGAGAGGATGGAAGAACACCTCCCATGGAGGACAGAGAAGACTGAATAAAGAAGGGTGGTCAAGTGTCAGCCCTAGAGAGCCTAGAGGGAGCAGAGCAGGAGAAAAAAGCATCCTGGCACCAGCTGGTAACCCAGAGGTAACTCCAGCAGCACCTGGAGACAGAGCCCTGAGTCCATTTGACTTACATTTGCTGCATCCTTGGTTCATCTGATGCTCCTCTCAAATAATCACTATCATGTGTGAGCAGAACTCTCTCAGATCGGTGGGGGTCTCAAGATCGAAACTAGCCTCAAGGCCAGGGAGAAAGCTTGAGCAGTTCAGTGCAGCAAGCAGAAGCGTGGAGACCTGAATATGATCCCCAACACTCATGAAAAAGCAAAGGCCAGGGATGGGTATACTACATGCACTAATAACTTCAGCATTGGGTAGGGCCGGAGAGGAGCTGAAGCAGGAGGATCCCTGGAGCTACCTGGCCAACCAGCCTAACCCAATCAGCAAGCCCCAGTGAGAGAACTTGTCTAAAAAACAAGGAAGATAGCTCCTGACATTGAGATCTGAGGTTGACTTTGGCTTCCACATGTGCACGCACACACACACACACACACACACACACACACACACACCTCAGTTTTGAATTCCATCTTCATGCTATACAAAACTCTTTTTGCTTTTGTCTGAGGAGGTTATTTGGCAAGGTGTCCGAAAGCCTATCAAAACAAAAGAGGTCTAGAATTTACACCCTTTTCCACGCCTTTGAAAGAACCGTTGTTTCAGCAGAAAAGGCGTGAGAGCTGATTGCAATGCTCGGTACGTGCAGGGCTTGATGGCTGCACGAACAGTCTGTTTGCATTAGGACACGGGCCTGTTCACCAGGGTAAGTGCTGATGACTGCATAGGAATTATAGTGAGATCTCAGCCTGGAAGATTGAAGTTGTAATTGATCTCCATTTCCATATTCTGTTGGAGATTGCTGTAATATAATTATCATGGAAAATTCCACAAATACATATGAAGCGCTTGCAACATCAAATAAGTGTGCTGGCGTCTTAAAAATATGCCGGGTTTGAGGTACAATTATCCCCCTGTGTCCACAGGGGACATATTCCAAGACTCCCAGGGGATGTCTGAAATAGCAAATCATATCAAACCCTATGTGCCGTGCTTGTGTACATATGTGTTATCCACTTATAATTAAACAGGCAACAACAAATGCTAAGCTAAAACAATATCAGTGTAATACTGAAATGGCCCTCACTATAATAACTTGAGCACAGCCCTGTGATACCATGACATGCTGCTGACTGACTAACTGGTAGGCAGTACATATACCATGAATACATTGGACAAAGAATAAGTCTCCTATCAGGTAAGATGGAATGAGACAACATAAAATTTCTTCAGACCACTCAAAATGCCACATGATTTAAAATTGCATTGTTTCTTTCTATTGTTTCCCTTTTAATATTTCAGACTGCCGTTAACCAGGGAGAACTGACATCACAGTTTATGTTGTGGTAAATGGCATATTGCAAAGAGCCCCCCTTTCCCCGTGTGGTATACATGAGAGCTCCCCTTTTGTCTAGAGCAAGACCAGATGAAGACCGCCCAAGGTCCCGTTCTCTGCTTCATACACGAGCCACCAAACTGTTTCATCCCAGACTGCTCAATTGCAATAGGAGCAAAACACTTGTTAGGTAAACCTGAGTTATATCTAGGGATGTGGCTCAGTCAATAGCATGCTTGCCCAGCATGCACAAAACCCTGGGTTCAACCCCCAGCACCTCAGAAACAAGCCCTGATGGTAGGCACCTCTGATCTCACCATTCAGAAGGGAGAGACAAGAGGATCCAAAATGCAAGGTCATTCCTGGCTATCCAATAAATTCAGGGCCAGCTTGAACTACCCAAGACCATCTCATAAAAAGAAAAACTTGAATTAAGAAGCTTTTTCTCCCCTTTTCCCAGGCCCTTGACCTTAAGCAATACACAACCTGAGCCAAAAAACAGCCCTTCAAAGACAGTATTCCTCTAGGCAGATCATGTCTAAGCCACTGTCCTGATCCTCTCTCAGCACACAGCCAGCTCCATCTAGTCTTGTTCACTCCTCTGTAAAAGAAATGCCGTTTTGCCTAACTTCTGAGACACTTGTGTGTCCAAGTACCCTCCCTGTATCGGTAGGCTCTTTCAATCCTCAAACCAAATCCTTACATTAATTCTTCAAATAAATCCCAGGGTTGCATTTTATTTAACAACCACAAGCACCAGTGACCTATGCCGGCCATGGGATGACCCTGAAGAATCTCGGACTCATGACGTTCTTCCGAAACTCCCTAGGTCTTAGAAAGCACCCAAAGGCACACACTGGAGAATGGGTACCACACCTGGGCTGACACATAGTCATCCATCAGGATGTCCCCACAGCTCCAGGGCCAAACCCCTGCAGGTTGCTCTGTGGCCTCGTGGACAAGGCTAACCAAGCCTCCCTTTATTTGTGCTTTCATTGTCAAAACATGCTTGTGATTTGAATTCCCAAGTGTCTGATTGGTCATCGCAGGGCATGTTCTTGGGTCCAGAACGGGAAGATATCCCTCTGTTGGCATCCTAGGAATGAAGCAATGCTCCCCATGCCACCAATAATACTCACACGATGAAGAGAGCTTATGTCAGGGAGCGGAGGAGGTCTGCCACAGCCTCCTGCTAGATCTTAGATTTTTTGCTTGTTTTGCAGTATTGTTGTTGAATGATTTGCACTTAATCCATGACATTGATATAAAATTCACAAGCGATGATGTGTGTCTCAGGGCTTCCCAAAGCAATATACGGATTGACAGATGGTGCTGCTCCGAGCCGTCACGCCCCTCCCTCTGCCCCTTGCTCACACCTTTGCCTTTGATGAATTGGGCTGAGACACAAAAGGATTATTTTGCTAGCCAATGAGGTCTTCAGCTCCAGAAATCCTTCCCATAAGCCTGAACCACTTATCACAGAAGATCCAGGCCCCATGAGACAGGAGGAGGAGAAGGTGTCAGCATTAACCCAGCTACCTGCTTCTGCCGGGACTTCTGCCAAAGGCCAGTGGTGATGAGCAATAAATTATTGTGCAACATGCCAACATAGCAGCTTGTGGCCAGCCATTAGAGTAAGCCACCGAGCACGGGAATTTCAAGGACCTCTCAGCACACACCAAAACGAGCGTTATTGCAAAGCCAGGTGTTTGGGTCTAATTGCACGAAGCAGTTTGAAATGTTAATCTGCTCTTGAAAACTTCTCTTCTCTCACAGGCAGTGTAGAAGAGAGACTCCAGGCTAAGGCTTTGATGGGGAAGAATAAATAGTTTGTTCCCTCTTTTACTTATTCCTTTGAGGTTGTTTGACAGCTTTCGAGCCATAGATTCACAGATCAAGGTGGCAAGAATTGACCTTGAGGGCATCAGCTCTGTGTCCTGCCAGAGTCCAGCAGCCGTCAAGCTGTGCCAACCTGGCCCCAGGCAGCGTGAGTGCCTGCTTCTAGAAACTTGTCCAGTGATGCCTCTTGCATGACACAGCAGCTAGGCCTGCCTCCAGTTTACCCAGCGACTCCCCTTAGTGCAGGATGAGTCAAATGTTCCTGTTCCAAGAAGCAGTAAGCTCTGAGCATTAAGTGAACCTCCAAGTCAGACACAACTGGCTTCCATTCTCCTTATGTCCCTGCCAACTGCACGACCTGGGACATGAGCTGTAGTCTAGATGTTGAATGCCTCCCCCAAAGTTCACGGTTAAAGGCTCAATTTCCAGGGTGGTGCTATCAAGGGGTTACCGTAGGTATCCAGGAGAAGCCACATAGCAAGACCTCGGGTCTTTGAAAATATACCCTAGAAGGGAATTGTAGGACTCCAGCCTCTTCCTGTATGTCTC